AGTTTTGTTTTACCATTGTTGTTTCTGTCGTGCTTTTTCTTCTTATTTCAATCATGACATAGGGTTATGATATTTGTCCTGGTACAAGTTACTCTGCAAAAAACATTTTAAAAAATGTCTTTTCACTTTCACTGTACTTTGTTGGGTGCTCTGCTGTGGTTTGCTCAGTCGTTCCTTTCAAAAGTCTATTATACTTATCTCGCCTCCTTCTTTTCTTTGTGTGTTATTCTTAAGTAACACCTGTAATCTTCAACACTTATATGACCTATTTGTGTTGCAAGTGCTGTAGATCTCTTCTTTCAACTAAAATCATAACACACCCCACCCCGGGGCGATGCTACTGACTGAAGTGTCTTTAGGCCATTCCCAAAAGGGGGACATTAACATGTTCTTGTTGTGCACAGTAGAATTGTAAATGGACTGATTTTTCAGTGTCATGCTCATAACTAGGCCTGGACTGCATATGGGGAGCTGCTGCTTTTTCTTTCCTAATCCTTACTCTTGTCATTTTCCTCTTCTTCTTTTGTGTTTTTCACTCTGTTGTGGCCCGCTATTTCTGGGATGCTTTGATAGTGAAAGCAGATTTTGTGCTGTTGAAGCAAGTGAGGTGAACGGAGTAAGCCTGATTCCCTGTATGGACTTCTCTGTTGACTCCACCCCTTGGCGCTCATATGACCTGATGCAGTTGTGAGGGCCATAAAAACTCTACTGAAACAAACAACTCTTCCTTCAGCTAAAATGGCAGTGACTTAACTCACTGATGTCTTGTCTGTGTGTTTCCACAGGCCCGCGAGTGAACGGACACGCCAAGCACGAGAGGCACAGAGACCCTCGCGGCCTCTACGAGACCTCCACCATGCTCAGCAGTGACCTTGAGTCCACCAGCTTCATCGACTCAGAGGAGGACACGGCTAGCAGGTGGGTGGTTGGCGGGCGCTCTGCTGTTGTCTGCCCCTTCTTCCCCCCCCAAACATCTATAATATTTATGTCTATTTTCTTTGTATGTCACTTTCTAGGAACAATTCTATTCTTAAGCACTTCTATGACACAATTGTCGTTGCAAGTGCAGTAAAACTCATATTAAATCTAAACTCAACTTGAAAAATTTGAAATCTCTGCTCTAAATGACCGTTACTGTATTGACCTGCTCTTCTGTATTGAAAAACCCAAAGACGTCTGCAATGTGTAAACATCTGTTGACCTTATCTCTGCTCTTTCTTTTTTTTGTGTATTATTCTTAAATAACACCTCTTATCTTCAGCACTTGTATGACCTAATTGTGTTGCAAGTGCCTTAAAACATTTACTAAAACAAACGAAAAATGAACAATGTTGACAGAGATTCTCCTTTTGTCCCCCTCCTGTAGGTTTTCTACCGTCACAGATACAACGAGTATGTCGTCCAAATATGGGCGTCACAGACGGCGCAGACGCCGGCACAGGCCGCCGCCAATAAGCCGGGTGGGTATCAACAAGGTATCGTAGACCCATCCCGACTAACTGGCTCGCTTGACCCTGGATGAGAACATGAGCTCCTCGTTCTTCATGAAGTAGGCTTGTAATTGTTCATTGTGGGGTGGACAACATCTGTTGGAAGGAAACTCATCTTTCGTTGAATCGACAAAATCTTGTTTTATAGCTCCTTTTGGTGTTGGTTGTGATGACTTTTGCATCCATAAGTAAAAACCAACAGATGTACTATTGTGTGTAATCAGTCAGAAATTCAGTGTGTTCATTTCCAAAGTTTTGATAGCCTTTGTCACAGAGACAGCTTGTCATCCAGAATTCTAGATTTTAAAATATATTTTTTTCCCCCACATATAAAGACAACTGATGGGTAATATTGACCTGGAAACATGATATTTACAAGCTGTGAGAATTGATGATTGATTCAGCTTTTTTTCAGTGCTAAGATAAAGTGAAACTTTGCACATGTTGATCCAGTTTACTGATGCAACACATGGCTAGTGAAACGAGCACTCGTTTGTGAGAGATAAAAGCCAACTCATTTTCTCGCTGGGGTCAGTCATTGTTGTGGTTAATTTGTACAGAATTTTGCTGTGGATTAATTAACTTTTTGTTTTGTCCCCAAGTTGTGACTTGTTGATACTCATTCCTATTGTGCTTAAGTTATTCAGTGTTTCCCTCGCTTTACCCCCTTCCTGATATTCTTTTTAGGTGAAAACTGTGTTATGTTTCCTTTCTGTGAGGATTTCTTTACCGGTGTGCTTGTGTGGGAGTATGTTTTTAGTTTTCTGATCAGCGTAATATTAGTAAAACGAGAGAGAGGGAGTGGAAAAAGAAAGAGATGAAGTGAAAGGATCACTATTGGAACTATATTATTTGTACCATTGTAAAGCGCAGTGGGAATGGGCTGTATAAATGTAATTGATTATTATTATTATTGATATATGCTAGTTGACTTTGTATACGCTGGTCTAGTTTTCATTAATCTGCTTCTGGTGTCAGTTGGGTGGATGTGTGGTGTGGGGGGGGGGGGTAAATGGCAGATGTTCAAGGAAGTAAGGGTGTGTTGTGTGTGTGTGTGTATTTGAAGAAAGGTTGGAGAAGATATGTTGATTTTTGCTGTACTTGCCTCTATGCAAACTGCATTATAGAAACTGCTGCTTTAGAGTCCACTTCAAATAAAAGTTCTCTCTTTTTCTGTCTGTGTAACTTGATCTTAGCTTGAAGCAAAGGGTCAGCATGTGAGAAAGTGTAGGATGCTCTTGGAGTTCCTGCGGTGACCTAGTGGCATGTCCCTCATACTTATGATACTTACAATGCATCTTGACAAGTGTGACAAAAAAAAAATCAATTTGAATTTATAGATGTTCCCTATGTTTTTGTGCAGTGTAGGCACAAACAAACCTAACGTAGAACCCGTTGTCTCCTTTGTCTGTTGTCTTAAAAGTTTTTTTCTGAGTCTTTGTCGGTGCAGAACCTGTAAATGTGGTTTTGAGACTTGCGGCACGTCAAGTTTAAATATAAACTCAAACGTGCCCAGAGGGAGCGCCCCAAACATCGGTTGGTAAGCAAACGTCCAGGTGAAAGCTGTATGGATAAGTAATGTGTAGAATGTTTGATGAAAACTTCTGTTCTGAGTGCCTGTTTTGCTTTAAAAAGTTCTTTGAGTTTCTGTTTATGGAACAAATTTGTTTTGCGAATGTTAATGTGATTTCAAATGTACTAATAGATTCCATTTAGCGCAAACCCATTTTGGAAATCCTTTTTCAGTTATGGGTGATAGTTTTTTTCCAAGTCTTTGCTTTTGTATTTTTAAATGCTAAAATTATTATTTTTAGCTTCTTTTCAAGTCTTCAGTCTGTACCCTCTGCTTAATAGTATATCAGAATATGAATATAATTTCTAAAATTTTGAAATGTAGTAAAGGTTGTGGTCATTTTGGCCACTCGGTTGTCCAAGTAAGTCTGGCTGTCTCTCAAACCTGTCCTAGACTGAGGTATTTGTGAAGCATGCAGACAAAATGAGTTACTTCTAGGATTCAAGCCTTATGGAAATAGATGCATCACGCTTAAACGTGAAGTTTTTACAATTTATAAGTATGACATAATGAAAGGCATGTTGTGGTTAAAGAGTATCATCATTAATGCCTTTCACCCCTGGCTGGGTATAGGCCGCATACAAGCTCCTTCTATTTATCTCTATCCTGGGCCATCCTTCCTAGTTCATTAGTTAAAGTTAAAGAGTATGGATTAATAGAAAATCTACACTTTTGACTGTAGTGTCGATTTTTGGCCAATATCTCCATTTGTGGATTGCGAGAAGTATCTCATTTTGTCAGCACACCTCACATTGTTGATACCAACTCCAGCTTCCTTGTCTCTCTGACCTGTCCTAGACTGAGATATTTTCTGATACCTACTTCAGCCTCCTGGTCTATAGGTCCACCTTATTTTGGGAACATCTGTGACTGACAGCCCCATTTAAAAAAAAAATTTCTGATGCTTTTGATGATCAGTATTCTCAGGTTTATGTAGCTGACGGGGGCATAAAAACACTAACATTTTTTTTTAAAGCAATTTTCTCAGGTTTTATTGCATTTTGCAGAGCAGCGTGTCTAGTGCGTCTTTGTCTTGTGGTGACCCACAGTCGTCTTGTGATGACCCTTGGTCGTGTTTTGTCCTAGCAGCATATCTAGTGCGTCTTTGTCTTGTGGTGACCCAGTCGTCTTGTGATGACACATGGTCGTGTTTTGTCCTAGCAGCGTATCTAGTGCGTCTTTGTCTTGTGGTGACCCACAGTCGTCTTGTGATGACACATGGTCGTGTTTTGTCCTAGCAGCGTATCTAATGCGTCTTTGTCTTGTGGTGACCCATGGTCATGTTTTGTCCTAGCAGCGTGTCTAACCAGTGCGTCTTGTGACCCACGGTCATGTTTTGTCCTAGCAGCAGGCATTGAGCCGGGATTGGTGCGAAGAGCCCATGTTGTGTGTCCCTGTAGGGATGGTGTGATGTGATGTCACACAGACCATGGTGGCGTACTGTTCTACCTTCTTTTAGTGGGAGACAGGATTGGTTTAGTCGTGTACACATGAAGCGTTTGTTAGCTGGGTCTGTTCTCTGACTAGTATGGGGTTCTGTTTTGCTCTAGAACTCTTGTGCCTCAGCAAATCTGCTGCATCATCGACAACAACAAAGAAAGACTGTGGTTTGAACAGAAGATTGTGGTGAACGAGAAGTCTGGTGTCCCTGTGTGTAGTGCATGCTACTCACCTGCTAGACTGTGACATGTGCTCAGATCTCACCCGCTGCCCTGTTCCTGTACCTCCCTGTTCTTCCCTGTACCTGTTCCTCCCCTATGTGTCCCTAACTCTGCCATATTGTACACACTCAATGGCATGTTGTCATGTGGAAAACACAAAAACAATAAGATTGTTTTAATTCAAAGGGAACACAAGATATTGCTCATGCAGGTGGTTGGAGGGCGCCACTGGTATGTTTTACTTCTTTTCTTTCCCTTTGATGTCCTTGTCTGTCTGTCTTGCTTTTTCCCGGCGCTAAATGACCATAACTGTGTTGATGTATTTTTCTTTACTTGAATGAACAGGCAGATATTGCTTAGCACTTGAAGAAAAAGTTTGTACTGATGTATGTCAGATTTGTAGATGACCAGCCAGTGGATTATTATTCAATGCATTTCAAAGCTTTCCATCTTCTGTACTTCACTGCCAAGATGTTTCAAGATGCTCCTGAGCTGCAGATGCTTATGAACTGATTTATTAATTTTGTTTTTGTGCCATCTACATATATGAGCTTAATATGTGTGCTTTTTTGTCAAAAGGATTGAATGTTTTCTTCCTGTTTTGTACCTGACTTATTCAAGTTTTTGTTGCTTTTTTTCAAACAGGCGTCATCGTTTAGCAGTATAACGGACTCTACGATGTCTTTAAATATCATCACAGTCACTTTAAACATGGGTAAGTGCTTTGGAAATGTGGTTTCCGTTTGTCTGAGCTTATGGCAATAGTAATATAGTTATAAAGAGTAATAAACAGCTGATAAGAGCTGTTGGACTTTAGGGAAGGGGACAGAAACGAGACAGTGTCCGCTACTCTGAAATGGGTATTTTCCTTCTTAGATTTAACAAGTATCTTGGGTGTCTTGTTTGTTGTGTTTTTTACGCGTTCTTTATGATATAGAAGTTAATTTTTACTATAACAGAAAGTTGATTACAGAATCATACTGAAAAAAACAACCTCCTGCCGATACTTGCATTTTCAGCTTGACTTTCATGTGAACAACAGGCTCTTTCTACATTGTATCATAACAATCTGTGTGGGGGTGGGACGAGGGGACACAGTGGTCTCTCACTGCCTGTAGCTTGTACCGATTCACAATTTATCCTGCAGATGCTGTTTTTCCAGGTCCCTTCCCCCTCTCCCACCTTCCCCCTTATTTTTGGTATCGTCACTGAAATCCTTTGTATCGTTCTCAGCATTTTGTCACTAAAGCGACGAATTGTTTTCGGTGTAACCCCCATATTAGTTGTATATTATATTGAGCAGCTCTTATTTTGCAAATGAAACCTTGGAATTTTTCAGTCATTTTTACCATATGACAATGACACCCCTGTGATTTATATTTCCTAGTGCTGGCATTGCACAAAACAATGTGGGAATGTTTGTGTATGTTTTCAGACAGGCTGAACACAAAACAATATGTGAATGCTTATGTATGTTTTCAGACACGGTGAACTTTCTTGGGATCAGTATTGTGGGACAGAGCAACAAAGGGGGAGATGGGGGGATCTACGTCGGCTCTATCATGAAAGGGTAAGTGCACCAATACTTCTGCATTTTTGTTGTTGATGTTGTTGTTACAGTTGTTGTTTTGGGTGGTGGGCTTTTTTTCCCCCGCCTTTACTCCAGACTTTTTATCGGGTGGTTGGAGGGCGCCACTGGTAGGTCCTACTTCTTTACTTTCCCTTTGGGTTTTTTTCTGTCAGTCTGTCTGTCTTACTTTTTCCCAGCTCGAAATGACCATTATTGTGTCGATGTGCTTCTCCTTACTCGAGCAAACTCCAGACATTTATTTTCTCTATCAGATAAACCGTCCTGTGTTTTTGTGTTGTGACATTCAGTTGACTTTGTCCAAGAGGGCAACCCCACTGTCCAGGAGATGGCCGTGTCATTATAATGTGTGAGACATTGTGGTAAAATCAGGCGCTCGTCAAAATAATGGAATGTAAGGAACGGGCATTGTTCCATCAGTTTGGCAATTTTAGTGGAATGTCAAAAGCAAGGCAAACAAATAAGCTTTTAGATGAGACTAGTAACTCCACATGTCCCAAAATTGACGAGCGCCTGATTCCACAGCATGGTGACACATGTATTTGTGAAATGCAATCAGGGAAGTCATTGTCTTTCTCTGCTGGTGGGTGGTTAGTGAGTGCTCTGATATGGTTTGCTTCTTTCCTATCACACAGCCATTGTCCTCATCTCTCCCTTTTTTTTGTACGTTATTCTCTTGTTGCATCTCTAATCTTCGGCACTTATGTGGCGTGTTTGTGTTGCATGTGCTGTAAGACTTGTTCTTAAACCAAAAACAAATTCAAATAAATTGGGGCTGTGGTTTGGTCTGCTTCTTCTACTTCTTTTCATCAATCCTCCCCCGCCTCGTGGTGGATTGTCATTTTTGTAGAGATAAACTACAGCTCAACATGGGTCGCTGCCTAAGCTCAGATGGTATAATGTTGGACTATGGAGTAGATGGCCCTTATTCAAATTTCAGACTGGGTTTTTGTGAACTTTGGCCATTTTATGTGGTTTTCAAGGCTCTGAACCCTTTCAGCTTGGTTTTGTTGGAGACAGATGTTAAATTGAGAGGTTTGGTCTCTTGTATAAGCTACCAGTGTTAATGATGTAGTTCAACCTGTACATATACTTGTTTACTAGACTCAACTCCTCGACCTATACATTTACTTTTTTGTTTCACTCGACATCTGGGCTTTGGTCGCTCCCACTAGTGTTAATGAGGTGGTTTGACCTGTACATTTACTTGTTTAATGGACTCAACGCTTAGGCGTTGGTTGTTCCTCGACCTGTACATTTTGTTAATGGACTCAACACCTGGGCTTTGATTGTTGCAGGGGTGCTGTGGCCCAGGACGGCCGGGTGGAGCCTGGGGACATGATCCTGGAGGTGAACGGCATCAGCTTTGAGAACATGAGCAACGACGATGCCGTGAAAACGCTGAGGGAAGCTGTACAGAAACCAGGGTCAGTAGTATAGAAGTGCTGTGTTTGTTGAACCCTTCTACTCTGTCTCATGCACATACACACACACACACACACACACACACACACACACACACACACACACACACACACACACACACACACACACACACACACACACATGCATTTTTATAACAGTGTTTGGGTGTTATCTCCTCTCCTAAACACTTTTTTGTTAAAGTTGAAAATAAACTTGATAAGTTTTCTTTCTATTTACTTTTCACGGTTAACATGAAAAATCATGTTTGATAGAATTCCATTTTGCTAATTGTTCAGTTTAAATGAGAGAGAGAAAAAAAAAGCATGTTTGCTGTAACCCGGCTGTCACTGTGTTTCTCCTCAGCCCAATCGTTCTAGTCGTCGCCAAATGTTGGGACCCGAACCCCAAGGGTTACTTCACGGTCCCGCGGCAGGAGCCTGTGCGGCCCATCGATCCGTCGGCCTGGGTGGCCCACACGACGGCCATGCGGGAGCAGTACATGGGCCGCGGCGGGCCCAGCGCACCCTCCATCAGCAACATGACCTCCACCACCTCCTCCTCCCTCACCAGCTCTATACCAGAGTCGGAACGTGAGTGCACCACAAAACGGTTCTGCTTCTGTCTTTTTCTTCTTCTTATGACTCTCCAAGACCGGGATTTGCAGTTTATAATAGAAAGGAAACCCATAAGTCAGTTTGAGAGATATTTTGCCGCTGGTCAACTTTGAATAGCTTGACTTTATTGAACGCGGGAAAAGTGTGTGTGCGCCACGTGGGTAGAGTCTGCTTAAACCTGACAGTGATGGAAAGTTTTTAACTTTAAAATATTCTCCTTTCACCTCCTTTCCTGCTCTCTGACCGTGTTCTGTTGTCTGCTTTTACCTCCACTTTGGCTTCTTCCCCTTCCCCCTTTCCTTTGGGCTCCTGACTCTTTCTGCAGCCTTTCTATTGCTACTCTGTGGCTCTTTACTGTTTTTTTTTAGCCACACCCCTGATCTTACGATAGATAAGATCTGCGCCTTGCCTTCTCGGATAAGGGTGGAAAATCTCGGAGGTCTCGTTTGCAAGTTGCACACTTTATAGATCCCTTGGAGGTCCCTAAAATTGTGTAGGCAGAATCTACTGTGTTAAGTTTCATGTACAGTCAGGCAGGCACATAGGCAAACTGGCCAGATGGGGAAGTCTTTTCGTTATGTAGAAGTTTCACTGTGTAGCGCCAATGTTTTCAACACAAAGAATATACAAGAATGTGTGAGAAACAATGGGGACCTGAAAATCTGGTGGCTATGTGCATGCTAGACGGTAATTCTTCATTGGTATCTTATCAGTGCAAATGTCAGAAGATAATTTTAATAACATTCTCTGTCAAGTTTATCCTGTTTCAGTGGGTGGTTGGCAGGTACTCTGGTGTGATTTGTTCTTTCTCTCCTATTAAACGTCTTATCATATTTATATCTGTTCCTTCTTTTCTTTGTATGTTACACCTTTAATTTCCAACACTTATTTGGCCTGTTTATGTTGCAAGTGACGTAAAACTCTGAATTAAAGGTGAAAACTGACCTGTGTCTTCCTGTTCCAGGCTTTGACGACATGAACCTGACCATCGGCACAGACATGGCCACAGTCGTGAAGGCGATGGCGCAGCCAGACTCCGGTCTGGAGATCAGGGACAGAATGTGGCTCAAAATCACAATAGCCAACGCTTTTATAGGTGAGGTGGAGCACCTTGTCTTGTCGGATAAGAGGTCAGAAAATCTGGGAGGTTCGGCGTGTATGTTGAGCACGTTAAAGATCCTTTGGTGGCTGATATCTTAGAGAAGTAGACTGTAACGGGAGTATTAGACGTTTAGTTAAAACTGACAGTTGTCTGCTCTCTTTTTGATAAGAAAATAGTACTAGAAGCAGTCTTGGCTAAAAATCCTATTTTGTGATCTTCAAAATCCATCAAGGAAAAGTTGCTAATGAGTCCATTTTGATATGGCGGTTCAGAATTTGATATTTTTACAATAGGATGTAGTTTTTAATAATTTTGTAAACAAGAATTGAATCACCAGCAGGCAACAGACCGTCCAGCAGCTAGACATACAAAACTCAGGCTGTGCTGGCTGTGTGAAATTTTTGGCTAATTCGGGCTAGCTGAACAGTCTGTGGCCCGCCGACGATAGAATTGTCGTGAATGTGGGGGTCGTTGGTAGTATTGTTTGCCTTGTTATTAATTTGTTAATCATCTTAGTTGTTTTTATGATGGGCTTTATTTAATCCAAGAGTCCTATACACAAAACCTTTGTCCACACTTGCCTTGCAATTTTTTAAGTTCCGGCTGTTTCACGCTTGTCTTTGTGTTCGGTTTGAATAGAATAGCAATTATTCCTGAAGAAAAATTTCCTTTTGTTTCAGGTGCTGATTTGGTGGACTGGTTGTTTACGCACGTGGAAGGATTTGCGGACCGGCGAGACGCTCGCAAGTACGCCTGTCACTTGCTGAAGGCTGGCTACATCCGGCACACGGTCAACAAGCTCACCTTCTCTGAGCAGTGCTACTACATCTTTGGGGACTACTATGGTGGTAGGTCTTAGCTTTGTCCATCTTCTCTCCCTGTATTTGAAACATAACACTTCCATCATTTATTTGCAGAATCGAAAGCCTGTTCCGTTTCCCTGCTTGTGTGAAAAAAAAAATCTAAGTGAAACTGGGACTAGTTTTTTAATAAATTAAAATTCAGATTTCGGAAGAACGCCTTTTTTAAATGGTTACGCTGACAAAAAGTATGTTTATCTCGAAACCGCTGTGAATAAAAAAAGGAGGCGTTTTGTCAGCTTACAGCAGAGTAGGTTACTGAAACGCTACTATTCAGCATTTTGTGATTTACGGTTAAGTTTTTACTCCTTTTCCTGGAGAGTGGTTATGAATTTCCTGTTTACGCATAAAGCTATCTTGTCCATTGCAATGTGGAAATTGCTGATATAACTGTTATTTTTTTAACTCTTTGTGTATCATGATGTGTGGTTTGCTCCTTCTTTCGTATCAAGCATCTATCTGAATCATCCTTGTCTGTCCTCCTCTTTTTCATTATATATGATACTCTTTAAATTAACACTCATAATATTCAACACTTGTATGACTTATTTGTGTTGCAAATGCTGTAAAACTTTTACTGAAACTAAAACTAAAATATTGTCCTTTCTTATGTCCCTGTCCACAGGTCCACCCATTTACCCAGGTAAGATCTCTGCTTTCTCATTCCTAAATGCCTGATATTTATTATAGTCGCTATTTTATCTGTCTAGGTTACTCCTATTTTTTCAAAACTTTAGTTTCCTGGAAGCATTTTCCTTTTAAAAAGTTTTATTGTTGTCTTTCTATCAGAATATACATGGTAATATGATTAGAAAGAACACTGTAGTTTCCAGAATGTTTCTATGAGATATCAAAGATTAGTTGTGCCTTTTAGAATTTGATAATGTGTAATAAGTTGGATACATTTTACTTTTCCATATAAGTTTTATCTAAAAATCTTAAGATTTTTCTGTACCTCTTGGATAGGTTGATCTATGATGCATTGTATTTTGTGTGTGTGTGTCGATCCATGAGAAAGACACTGTACACAAATGTTCCTCACTTCACCGGGGTGGGAATGGGTACCCGGCTGTAGACAGCGGAAGATGTTGTCAGCTTGTGTGTGTTTTAGCGTGTAATCTGCTGCGTGCACTGTATGCTTCCTGAGAAACCGAGAATGTTTCTGAGTATTCAAGGGTCAAGTGGGGTATTGGTGTAGATTGTAAAGTGCATAGAGCTTGCTGTTGAGCAGGGAGATACACTATGAATATGTTTATTATTATTATTATTATTATTGTCATTGTTTGGTTTTGGCAGCTATGTATGTTGTATTTTGTGTTTGTGTGTGTTTGGTAAATGGCTATGTGTGTGTGTGTGTGTGCGTGGTATACTGTAATTTATCTTGTGTGTGTGCATGCATGCTGTACTGTAATGTATCTCGTGTGTGTGTGTGTTTGGTAAATGGTTACATGTGTGTGTTTGTGTTTGTCAGATCTGGCGTCCCTGAACCTGGAGGATGTGGACTCGGTGTCAGAGGCTGACCGCGACACGCTGGCCCCGCTGCCCCCGCCCTCCTGGAGCAGCAACCAGTTCCCATACAGCTCCAGCAACTTCCTGCCCCAGAACCTGCACTATATCCCAGCCTACGCCCTCAACAGGTCAGACTCACACTCTGGGGCCTCTAGACATCATTTGCTTTTTCTTTTTCTTTCCTCTTTTGTTTCTGTCTGTCACGTTTGGGTTCCTCCCTGTGAGAAATGAGCTTTCAGAAATGTTGCTGTGGGTGGTTGGCAGGTGCGTTGATGTGATTGCTCCTTCTATTCTATCAAACATCTGTGGTCCTTATCTCTTCTCCTATTCTTTGTACGTTGGTGTGTGGTTGGCGGGTGCTCTGGTGTGATTGGCTCCTTTCTTTCCTATCTTGCATCTGTCGTCCTTATTTCTCTATGTTGCTATCTAGAAACACCTCTAATCTTCAGCACTTGTATGACCTATTTTATTTGTAAGTGCCATCAAACTTGTAGGAAAACTAAAGAAATGTAGCTCACTTCGTTGACGGTAAGATGAGAAGATAAGAGAATGCTTTATCATCCTTGTGAGAAATTTTCTGTGGCTGTACAGGAATGGTAAAAGCGCATGGAGTTCTTAGTGTGAGACTCCGCTTTATGCCATTTTGAAAAGTGAGGGATGACAATGATGGTCTGTCTGTCTGTCAGTGTGTATTTGCCCAGCGATGATAGTCTTACGCTGTGTCTGTGTGTGGGTGGGTGTCTAAGGTCTCCCTGTCTGTCTGTCAGTGTGTCTGTGTATATTTCCCCGATGGTGACACGCCAGCTATGTGTCTGTCTGTGTATGTGTATCTAACGAAACCCTATATCTGTATGTATGTATTTAATGACACCCTATGTGTCTTTCAGTGTGTGTTCCCCCAGCAGTGACAACTCAAGCCGTGTGTGTGTATCTAATCTATCCGTGTGTGTGTGTGTGTATCTGTGTGTATTTCCGCAGCAGTGACAACGCCAGCTATGTGCCTGTGTGTGTATCTTATCTGTCCGTGTGCATGTGTTTAATCTGTCTGTGTGTATTTCCCCAGCTATGACAACACCAGCTATGTGCTTGTGTATGTATCTTATCTGTCCGTGTACGTGTGTCTAATCTGTCTTTCTGTGTGTATTTCCGCAGCAGTGACAACGCCAGCTATGTGCCTGGGTGTGTATCTAACCTGTTTGTGGGTGGTTGGTGGGTGCTCTGGTGTTGTTTGCTCCTTCTTCCTACCTAACATCTATCGTCCTGATCTCTCCTCCTTCTTTTTTGTGTTTGTTACTCTTTTGTAACACCTCTAATGTTCGGCACTTATACGACCTTATTGTGTTGCGAGTGCGGTAAAACACTACTAAAACAAATGACAACGCCAGCTATGTGCCTCTCTGTGTATCTGACCTGTCTGTTTGTGTGTGTATTTCCCCAGCGGTGACAACGCCAGCTATGTGGGCAGCTTCGTGGACGTCCCGCCTGGCATGCCGACGTCTGCGGTGGCGGGAGTGGGCGTGAACATTGTGGGTGGAGCTCCGCCGGGCGTGGTGGGGGGCGGAGGTGGGGGCAGTGCCGGCAGCGTTCACAGTGCGTCAGGTAGGTGCTTGACTCGCTACTCGGGGCTCTTTTGTCCCGTTCCCA